TCAGCGACGACGAGGTCTTCATTGTGGTGCCCCTGATGTGCGAGAAGCGGGCGTTTTGCAGATTGAATACACATGTGCTCAGGTCGTCGGCCGTGTGGTTGAAGAATGTCAACATCGATGTCTTCACAAAATCCGGCGAGTACTTCACGATTGTCTTGGCGTCGGTCGCTTGGATTAGCACCTGTGGGGCGATGGATAGGGTGGAGCGTATGGTAAGTGTGTGTGTTATACAGTGTTATGTTATTTTTGTGGCCATACCTGCAGACATCGCACAGATATCTTGGCGTCAAAGCCGATGACCGACAGTTTTGACCGCAAAAAGGCGGCCAATTTGCAGAACAAGTTGGCCACGAGTTCCCGCTCGCGGACAGTGGCAATGCCGGCGTTCACCGCCACTTGACCTACACATCGGGTGCCGGAAAAAAACAAACACAATATAAAAGTTAACTATAACTATAAACACGTTGTGTCGACCCGCGCCGTACCGGTAGTGGCGGCCACGGAGGTCAAGAAGAACGAGCGCTGAGCCGAGAAGTACTTCTCCATCAACGGGAGCACCACTTTGCTGAAGAACGTCACGTCACGCGAGGTCTGTTTGAACGACGAGCGACGCGTGTGATTGGCCGACGGTTTCAACAGTTTGAGCGACATTGTGGTGATGTCCAGATACTGGAGCAGCTTCTCGAGCAAACTGGACGCGAACCGGCACTCAGTCGACTGGCCGGCGAGTCCGGCGGCGCCGTCCGCGTTGATCACTGAACCCAATCTGTTTCTTTGGTCAGTAATNAAACTGGACGCGAACCGGCACTCAGTCGACTGGCCGGCGAGTCCGGCGGCGCCGTCCGCGTTGATCACTGAACCCAATCTGTTTCTTTGGTCAGTAATGGTTTCGGTACTGGTTTAGTGATTATTGTGTCATTTGTTTTTTACATTTATGGGTTAGTGTTTACGACGGGTGTCAGGCGGGGGAGGGGACGGGTATGTTGTGTTAGAGGGGTGAACACCAAGGGGTGGGGGGAGGGGAGGGGGTTTGAGAACATATAGAAAATACGGACACAAAAAGAAAGAAAGAGAGAGATATAGGAAAAAGAGAGACAACTAAATCAATACTGGTTTTGAAATTAAGTCAAAAATTCATACAAAAAAACTACAATTCTTACTATAACTGTAAGTGTTTAGAAATATTGTATATTACAGTATAATCACAACATTACACAAAATAACTAAATTATAGATACAGTCAAACTCCGATATAACAAACACACGCCGACTACTATAGGCGACTAATAAATACCGGAACACTTTGAAGCCCTCGAACTGGAAAAACTTAAGCAACTCTTGCGATCGCTCCCTATTCTTCTTCTTCTCCCGATCGGTGAGCAAATCGTACGGAACCTACAGTACAGTGCAATACATCACTCATTATCACCACTATTAACCACTAATGGCCTAAACAGCGACTACACAGACACTTACCATCTGGGGGTGAATACAGCCGCCCAGCGCCTGTGACTCGGTCTTCACCTGTTTGGCCCACATGTCGTGCGCGTTCTCGGCCAACCTCTCGGCCATTGTCTGCATATCGCGGCTGAGCGTGAGGTTAGCCATGTCTACTGGTTGCGGGTTATAGTCGGCGATCGATATGTTCTGTGCGGTCATCTCTGTGCGCGACGTTTGTCGGGTTAGCGTCGACTGACCCGACTCTGACTGCTCTACCTGTCCATCGGAAAAACATGTAAATAAAAATACACACAAACATAAAACATTACGGTATTAATCGCGCACATACCTTATAATTCATGGCCAACAGCGCTTTGATGGCGTCCCTAATGGGCTCCTTATACCTCTCCTTTTCCCGATCGCTGAGCAGATGGTATGGCTTGAGTCGGGGGTGACTCTTGCGGTACTGCCAACTGTCGCCGTATTGCCAGCCGTTTTCAAACTTTCTGGAGGCCCAGGCGTCGTGATAGTGCTCAGAGAACTTCTGCACCAAATTCATCATTTCGGCCGATAGTGTAACCGATCCGATGTTCACGGGCTCCGGTATGTACGGGCCGTCAGTGGCACCTATAGGTGGGGTGTAAACAGTGTATGGGATTAGTATATGGGTTAAGGCTGAGGGGGGGGGGACACCGGTTATAACTCCGTGAATGCCATATAATTACCGTTTTTGTTGATAATATCGTCCAAATTACTGTTGGTTAGTGAGTAGTCGGGCGGCAGCGCGGCTGCGATGGCTGTCAGACAGGGCAGCGACTGCGTGAACAGGTCCGGGTCGTACGCCATTTTGGCCAATGAGTCAAATATATTGCTGAACAGCACCATGGTCAGCCGGCGTTCCTCTTCGGAGGCCGTACCGTACGAGCCCTGACCGCCGCTCGAGTAGTATTTGGCGCAACGCTCGTAGTGTAGGGTCAGGAGTCGGAGGGCGACAGTGGTGTAGTCGGTCAGCACTGACACGTCGTTACACAGTTTGCGTAGCAATCGTAACAGCATTGAGGGCTGCATTTCCCGCGTCAGTGAGACCTACCGGTGCGGAGAGGGAGAGCCAGTGGTTAATAAACTATTCGCTATTGTAGTCACAATTGCTGTACAATATAACTACTGGTAAACATGATTACAGCGTTTAAACAGTAGAACATATCACTTACGAGAAAGTCGGACACACACTCGCGCTGGCCTTTGGTCAGTGTCTTGACTTTGGCCAACCGGTACACCGTATGCAGTGTGGCGTCCAATAGGTTGGCCCAGTTGTCGGCGTTCTGG